AGTCTAGAGAGATTCAGAAGCAAATCTGGCCCTCAGTCAAAACACTTAGAAATGGATGAAAGGGGGTCTATTGACTTTGATGGACTTCGGCTTTAGCTCTACCAGCTTCCACAGGCAGTCTGGGGTTCTGATTCTGGCTCCACATGATGTTAATATATTTTATTCAATGGCTGCTTAGGTATATATATATTGAATTGCACATGGAATAGGTGTAGGAATACAGAGCTTTACCCCAGAGATGTTGTTTAAATAGTGAAGATACATACTATATATGATATATACATCCATAATACTTCTGAATTTTCTGTGATTTTCCTGCAGTCACACAAATTTTCACAGAATCGTAGAAAACTCTGAGTTGGAAGAGACCCACAGAGATACACAAGTCCAAGTCCTAGATCCACAAAGGACTTAAAAGTTACTTGAATTTTTAAATTAAAAATAAATTTCAAATTTAAAAAATTATTACTTAAAAATTAAGCTAAATATCTAAGACTTATATAAGCACTTAATGAACTCTAGTAGTTTGTGGTCATGCCTACAGCCCAGGGCAGCCTGTTCCATGCCCACCGCCTTCTGGTGCAGAACCTGTCCTTAACCCCTAGCTGACACTGCATCCAAAATGAGGCCTCCCCTCAGCCTCTTCCTTGGGCTGCACAAACCCAGGGACCTCAGACACAGCATATATATCTTGCCCTCTACACCCTCTACCATCATTGCAGCTCTTCTTTGGACACTGATAGTTTTTTTTGCGTTAGAGCTATCTTCTGTCAGTGTGTAACTGGACACATGAGATGAAGTGGATTGCTCGTGGAAAAATGAAGAAAGGAATTACTATCCACATGAAAACGACTTCTGTAACCAGATCTAAGCTAAAATTGCACATACCAAGTTGTAGCAAAAAAAACCCGAAAACAGTTACCATTGCATTTCACCGAGTCCAAATCTGCCTGAGAGAGGTTGTGGATGCCCCATCCCTAGAGGTGTTCAAGGCCAGATTGGATGGGGCCCTGGGCAGCCTGCTCTACTATTAAATATGGAGGTTGGTGGCCCTGCATGTGGCAAAGGGGTTGGAGATTCATGATCCTTGAGGTCCCTTCCAACCCTGGCCATTCTCTGATCTGCCTGATATTGGGAAAAGGCCAGACTGCAAGCATTATAAGGAACTGTCAGACCAAGAGCAACATAGCTATGAAATAATAGCTTTACTGCTTTAGAAAGAAGATGAAGATAAATGGCTAAGATTTCCTGTGATTTTTGAAAGTATTACTAAGTCTTAGAAAGTTTGTGGCCTTTATCTACACTTCTGTAAGCATAATATGCTGATCTAAGTACACGACAAGGGAGAAAATGGTCCACCACCTGCTGCCTGAATTGAGCACTCACCCACAGGTCACCAGTCTTGTCAAAAAGATTTGCACTGACAGAATATGAAATGGCATTACCATCAAAACATATAAGATTATCTTTCCTTTGAAGAAAAGCAACAGCTAAACTAACTTTGAAGTTAGAGGACAGGAAGGCAATTAGTTTGAAAATATTAGACACAAATGGAGAAATAAACTCAATGTTGCCACTAATAGAAACTGGCAGTTTCAAACCCTGAAAGATGGGCTTCTTAGTGCACTTTTCAGTGCCAAATCCCCAGCTGGAGCGAACTGATTTCGGACCATAAGAATGGAATCACTTAAATAGCCATGTCCAATCCTCTATAAATGCAAGCTTTTCTGCTATACATAAACAGATTTCACAGAACATCTCTGTGTCACTATACTCTCATGAGTCATAGACCATGTTCTGATAACCCACATAAATTTGAGGCTTACACTGAAAGACTAAGAGATGTATCACAAGAACAAAGCAAAGGAAACTGTGGAAATTTAAGAAATTATGCTAATCAAAACTTTGCAGATGATTTTAAAAAGTGAACTATGCTATGGAATACCTAACTTCTCCTCTGCTTGCAAAAGACTAAACAGGAATCTGGTTAGTGAAAACATCTTTGAACATACGAACAAAATAGGGGCAATTAGGCACTTATGAAAGTACAGTGCTATCAAAGGGATCAAATATGGGATTTCTGGTTGCCTTAAGCACTTGCAGAGCTTCAGTATTCTTCAGTTTATATTAGTTTAATATCAAGGCTTCAGTCTTTAGAATATATTTGACATTACTTAAAGCTATGTTACAATTTCTGGTATCACTTTTTTAATATTTTTACATAATTTTGAATATCAACTAAGCTGAGCTGTTCATCCTAAAATATGTTAACTGAATCTCAAATGGCTAAGTTCAGCTTTTGCACTTCATTATCCACAAACACGCAATCTGCTGTCTTGCTGCAGTACTGATGACCGTAGTAACACAGTCATTGAATGGCTTGGGTTGGAAGCAACCTCAATGACCGTGTAGTCCCAATGCCCCTGTTGTGGGCAGGGTTGCCTCTCACTAGATCAAATTGCTCAGGGATCCATCCAGCATGGTCTTGAAGTATCACTAAATACATTTTGCAGACAGCAAGTAATTATTTTCCCCATTGAGAGAGTAACGTGGCATCTATAGAAATACAGAGCTTAGTGAGTGTTAAATCCTTTACTATTACTGTTATGCAGTTGATTTCCTAAAGAATCCAGGCCATCCTTTTAAATGCAATCTATGCAAGCTGTTCAAGTCTTTTCTGCCTTTCTTCTGATATGTTGTCTAAAACTAAGGTAAGGCTTACCTTGACAGTCACCTGAGAATTTTCAGAAAACACAGAATGTACCATTGTTCTTTTTAACAGAATCTGCTATTGCTAGCATAAATCATAACTCTGTGAATATATGCTGAAACTATACTTTTGTTCAGACAAATCTGAAGATTTTATTAATACTACTTAAAACCTCGAGTGGCATAGACATCAGCTTCACATCAGAACACCTCTCACACTATTTCTCCTTATAAAAGTTAAAATCAGTTGCAGATCTCCTAAAATGAGCCATCAGATTTGCATTTTTTAAGATAACAGTGATATCAGCAGTGGTTCTCATGCTGGAAAACTATTCCTCTGGCAGGTCACCAGAATTTAGATTTGGCAGGCTGCAAAGTGTAATGTAAGGTTTACTTGCTCAATCAAGCATTCAATTAACTAACACGTCAGTATGCCGGTCCTTTGTGAGGCAAAATAAAATGTGCTAAAGCACATTGAACCATCTGAATGGATAGTTGCATAATTAATGTTTGTTTTTAATTTATTGTAAGTTGTCCAGATGCTCTGGCAATCAGTTCCTTAGATATTCTTCAAATAATTGACCGAGTTCTGTAATCTTACTAGAGGGCAGCAAATTTTCCTGTTTGATTAGAATTGAATAAATGATTCAGCAGACATTTTCAAATTCTTTTTAATTTTTTTTCCAATTAATGAATTGTTAACAGTTCTGAAATAATTTTCTTCAATTGCCCATTTGTTGATTGATATGGTTTATCAGTTATCCACAAATTATCTAAGATCATCATTGTTTTGAGACCAAAACATTCTCCAACTCAGTAAACCAAGCTTTATTAGTATGAGGTTTGTCAAAGTAATAATGCTCTTCTTGGGAGAAAAGAAAGCATGTAATTTCAGGGCATCTCATCTTTGTTAGCTATTTCAGCATTAGGTTAATTATATTTGTGTAATCATTAAGCAGAAAAAGACTGAGGGCAATATAGAGATAGGATGTGAGGAAATTATCTCAGATTGCACCACAATAGATTTTGTTTGTGTATTAGGAAAAATTATCTACACAAAAAGGGTGGTCAAGCATTGGAACAGTGCCCAGTAAAGCAATGGAGATATATAGATCTCCATTGATCTATAGAATAGATATATATATTCTATATATTCTATTATATATTCTATATAATAGAATAGATCTATTCTCTTACAGATTTGTATCATTCATTTATGCATTCTCTCAATTCATACACTGGACAAAATGTCATTTGCAGAAGAATAATTCCTTTACCTATCAACTCTATTTTATTTTTATTCTGTCCAAAGTTACACTGACTTCTCTACTGCCTTATTCCTGGCAAACAGTTAATGATCACACTCAATGTACAAATATAACAGGGATCCTTATATTTTTCTGGTTAGTTGTAATCGTACAAAGCCATTCTCACAGATGAACACAAATAATAACAGATGCTACAAGCATTAGTGTACATAGAGACATTTATTTGAATGATAATGGAAACCTCAGCAAGGGTAGATTGGCTCATAAATCAGATTTACGAAATACTTTTTTGACCCCTGCATTTTGCATTCACAATACAGCGGGTTCATTTCAAGATAAACTGCTTAGCAGCAACCTTTTTAAATGTAATACTTCTATGTTTAAAAAAATCTACTTTATTTAACGCTTTACAATACAGAATATTTAATTGTGTTTTATAATATTTTATTTGCAGCTATGAAAGCTCATTAAAATATGTGAATAATATTTCCCAAGCTCAATTTAAGCTGTTTTCAACATTTGTTTTTTGACTGGGGTGTCCTCCGGGTTTTCATTCTCAGATGTTAGGATTTTACATACTTGTTAACTCAAAAACAAACAAGCACGACAGAAAAATCATACACACACACACAAAACAGTTTGAGAGATCATCAATGAAGTATTGAGAAGATAAAGCACCAAAATGACTGTATCTGTAAAACACTAACCATTACGAACAAAACTAATAAGAACTAAGCATCTCATATTTTTGAGTTATTCAGTCAGAAGCAAGTTCTATTAAGATTTGAAATTGGACTAGAACTTTTGTGCAAATATGTCAATTCTATCAAACTCAAAATCCTACATTTTCTTATTTCTTGGCATTATTTTATTCATTAAAGCACTCCTGCACAGAAAGGAGGTCAACAGATCTTGCAAACAGAACTGCTCCTTAAATATCAGTACACATCTTACTCCTATTTCAAAGAAGTAAGAAATATTTGACAATCCGTAGCTTAACGTAAAAAAAAAACAAACAAACAATTCTAACACGTCATGTTTCAGCTTTATTTTCATTTACATTATCTTGGACAATTATTCTGAGGAAAGTCATTAATCTCATGCAGACTCAAAGGTATGCACGATATTAATGATTTTAGGAAAATGAAATTCAAGAGAGGTTTTCTGATATCATTCACATTATGCAAACATTTAACATTTCTGCTTCTGCTAGAGTACATTATCAGCACACAGAGAATTCAACTTTGGGTTCCTATGGATTAAAAAAGTAACTAGCATGCTATGAAATGGAAAAGAAAATTATTTAGCAAGATTTTAGTATGCCGAAATTCAAAGGGTATCATTTCTATAATTGGTGCTCCTACTGTAAGTGAGAATTTTACCTGCATTTTTCCAAGTTAATCTGTATACAAATAGTAAATATAAAAGAACAGTTCAAGATTTCTGCCTTTTTTTTTTTTTTTTTTTTTTTTTTAAGAAGCTTTTTTTTCTACCCATCTATTTTGTCATATTTCTTCACCTTGAAAGAGAGATAAAGATGGAGGGAACTCTTTTACAGTCCTTAGCTAGAGCTAAAAAGACACAGGAAATATTGAATCCACATATTAACTGATTATTTTTGTAGGAGTTTAGCACTTGACACTCTTTTATACTGCCATAATTAAAATAAGTCGATGGGTCAATTAAAGTGAACTTTTCAATATTAATGACCTTTGATTACACCTAACTGAAGAATCAATGATATAAAGCCAGACAGGCTAGAAATACTGATCCAGAAACCTTGTAAAATAGGCACACATATCATGCAAAAAAGTTTGAATGCAAAGATAAAGTAGGGTTGTGTCATATGCAAATAAACAGAGTTCTATCATACAGTTAGATGATAAATATTAACAGATACAGCACTCATCCAAGCCATCTCTGTTAAATGAAGTTGTAGCATGAAACACAACCTAAGCTTCTTAAAAGTAACTGGTGCCAGTGCTTAATCAGATATTGTAATTACCAGAAATATCACTTATCCATGTTCTATTAGACCTATTTTCAGCAGCAATGCTTTTATTTACTTATTATTTTCACAGCACTCACTGTTCTTGACAGATCTCATTTTCACCCTGTATCCATAATGTAAGATTTCTAAAGTAGACAGGTTAGCCTCGCTATGGCCCAAATAATTTGGTGAAAGGTCAACAGTGTGCTCAGTGGGGAAGGAGCCAACTCAGTTACAAGTGTTTTTCAAAGTCTCGCCTTTCAGCTTTTCAAATAAAACATCTGAGAAAAATCAAGAAAAGCCAGCTGCCACTTTACTTTCAAACAACTGTACAACAGTAGGTGAGCATGGCTAAACAACAGAACACAGCTTAATACAGTGGTTTGCTTCCAAAACATTACAGCAAACGGAAAAACAACAATAGCAATAACAAATGTTTAAATTAGTAAAAAAAAAAAAAAACAACAAATAATAATAATAATAAATTGTGGCGCTATCATTAATGTATGCCAAAGAGAGGATGGATAGATACGTTACTGGGGCATTTTTATTTATTTATGAACACACAAGTAAGTAGCAGCATAGTTCATACTAAAAGGATAGTTTGTTATTGCAAAGTGTAATGCTCCTTGATTTTTTTTTTCCTGTAGTAAGTAGCAATACATCAAAACCCACATATTTAATCAACTTATCTTGATGTCAGAAGACCATGGCATACCCTGAAGAATAAATATTGAATAGTGTTTATATCCTGCCAGTATATTCTTGGGTATCCATTTGTTGCACAGTTAATATACATACAGTAATGACTGCCATTTATTACCAGTACTAACAAAACAGTCAAGACTTATTGTGTGTGCATATGCATATTATATACATATTATGTATGCATTATGCATATGTATACATATTTACAATATTATATATATTAGTTGTATATCAATATGCATATAAATTTCTGTTTAAATATTTACAAACAATTATCACATTTTTCAGACTCAGTCTTTAATATTGCTTTCAACTGACTGAAAGGGCACATGGAAACAATGGGAACATATGGAAAGAGATTATCTGTTTTGAGACCAGATTGTGATGTGTTTACTCACACTGAATAACTTATGAGGAATATTCCTTCTGTGGTGTAAAGTACTCTGCTGTGAAGGAGGGTCATGATGTGGCACTCTGTATTTACTCATGCCATTGGATATAGGTTCTCAGTGTTACGTTAGAACTAATTCTAGGGTTTGATTGCTTCATTGTAAAGCCCACCACAGGATTGTGTTCATGAAGTAGGTACTGGTAACAAGCTCTAACCTCCCCTACATAGGAAGTAGAAAGACGACTGAAGTCCTTCATTTCTAAGTTTAGTTCATGACTTCATGCAACTTTCAAAGTAGATTGCCAATGTCACTGTGTATCCAAATAGCATTTAGGCTTAGAAAAATTATTTGTTACTTAAGGCTGATGACACTGCTTATTTTGCTCACTATTTAGCCTAGAGCGTATAACGAATCTCCAAAATGGGAATGGTTTTGTGCATGAGGGATACACAGTTACTCACCCTCACTAACCGTGGAGAAGAAAGAACAGCTTTCAAGTTTAGCTTGAACTTCTTTCTTCAAAAGTTTAACTAATTCTCCCACCTTTTTTTTTGCAGTACTCACATTAATTTCAAATTCTGTCTGACTCCCTACTAAAACAGCAGGGGATTGGCACTTCAGAGACACAAGCCCATATGCTAATTCCCCATCTTCTGTCAGTGTCCAACAGTTGTACCCACACAGTCACACAAGCGGAAAAAAATATATATTTGAAAAGCATTAACCCACTTTACCTAGGAAAATGCCAGAATTGCATAGATAATTACTATATGTACAAGCAAGAATATGCAATTAAGGCTCTTCTGGTAAACACCATGTACATAATTTTTCCATTGAATTGTGTGCACTTGATGGTCAGGATGTTGGCTAGACCTACTCCTCAACTTTAACCTCAAGTAAATGCCAGATGAAGGGGATAGACCCTTCCTTTACCCTTATGGTAAAGGACCTGATATTACAAACATTTGCAGAAGCAAGTGGTTTTATGCTTGGATCATATGCAGAACCAGAAACTCCCAGAATTCCTCAAATAAAAATATTCTTTCAAAAAGAAAAAGAAAAAAAATGAAGTGTGATCTTATAAAACCATAATCTCAACTATCTCAATCCATATGGCCTATGCTGATGATTCCTCTGGATATAACCACCTGAGTAGATTTGTTAATGATGCAAAATATTAAAAATTAAGAAGTGAAAGTGAATATTACTACCTGCTCAAGTATAAATGCTATCAGACAAATTCTAATTTCTTTTTCAAAAATAAACATGGTTCAAATAATGATTACTTTCCAAGGCATGGTGACATTTCAATATATGGAAAAAGAATAATTTCACAAGGGATATGTATTATATATGTAAATTAATATCATATTACAAAAGAGAGAATACATAGTGTCACAATTACTTTCTCAAAAAAAAAAAAAAAAACCAAACAAAAATCAAACAAAAAAAAAAAACACTGTAGGACTAATAGCTTATATGTATATAAACTGAGAATAAACCCAATAGCACTTCAAGTAACAGAAGAATCCTCACTGCCTTTTTCCCAACCTAACATCTTCTTTTCATTTACAAGCAGTTCAGTAAAATATCTGACCCCAGTATTAATTTTCTTTATAGTGAAACTGGAAAATAAAAATAAAGAATTGACAGATCAAACTACCATTCAGAGGATCCATGAATGTAGAGCTGTTTTACTTGTCATATTTGAACTCAGAGAGCAGAGAAGTTTCGTATTTCATAATAATTAAGTAAATAAATTCCAGATTTGCCATGGAAACACTGACATTCATGAACAAACAGCAGCATGTGATCACACTCTAGTCATACATTATTATCCTTTCAAACGTAATTCTGCAGTGAAACTGCTCTCAGCTTAGTAGCCCAATCATACCTCCCTACATATTTCTGGATTAATCCTTTTGGACTGAGACCATCATCTTTCTCCTGGGATATAAAGCAGAAAAAATACCATTTACAAAATATAAGCATCAACACATACCATCTTTTTTTTCCATCACAGCTAAGTAAAATTATGGACAGAACACTTCTACACTACTCTAGTAGAAAACTTTCATAGAAAATAACAGTAAAAGTCACAGTAGATATCACAGTCCCCTATTTCTTCTGTAGTTGAAAAGACAGATTTGGAAACTTTGGGGGATGGGAAGGGGGGAAGCGGGGGTTGAGGTACCTGATCCTACAGGATGTTCCATGTCTCCAGTGAGATCCAGAATTCTCTCAACTTCAGCCAACTTTGGTTGGAGTTACAGCTGCTCAACACATCGCATAAAGAGGTCTATAAACTCTGACAGATTTTTGCACATCACTTACCTGAATATGAAAGACACTAAAATTAAATCAGGCAGGATAATTAACATTATGCACACTCTGCACAGACTGAAGGCCATTTCTTGTCACACCCTGAAGGCCATATCTTGTTACAACCTGATTTCAATCTGAAATCAATGTAGCATAATATTGCCCTATATATATATATATATATATATATATATATATATATATATATATATAAAACGAAGGTTTTTGTCTTTTTCAAATTGCATACAGATAATTTTTAGAGGGGAAGAAGTCCTAAAAAATGAAAACAAAGTAACACAGAAATACAAAGCTGATGGAGATAAAACCCATTTTGCCATTCATTCCCATACTTCTGTACCTACATACCCAGCCAATAACCAGCAAACAATTCAGTCATGCCAGTAAAACATTTCACAAAGGCTCTCTATGCTTCAAGAGAACACGAAACAATTTTTTTAATAACATGTTAGCCTCAAAGCAATTCAAAAGACCGCGTTTGGAAATGACAAGGAATATAGTATCCAAGCAAAACAGTTTCAATAAAGCAGCTCCCCAAATAGTTAACAGAAAGCTTGAAACATGGCACAAAAGCAGGATTTTCAAGTAACCTAAACCTGCAGTCACACTACAAGACAGTACTTCAATGGCAAAGAATTGCTTAGATATAAATATTTACCCTACAACGCTAGACTGAAGAATGTAAACAGATCCCATGGATATAATATAACTTATCAATATCCTTACTGATGGAAATGGAAATGTTAACTCAGACAGGTCACTGATCCTGAAAGATGAGTATAATCAATTACTTTTCTACCTGTCAGTCATACACATAATTGCCTCACTTGCGTCCAACTGCTCCCCAGCCTTTCCTTTCTTGTTTCAAGGCACCGAACAATCATTTCTATTCACTTTTCACTCTTTTCCTACTGCTTCTTCACATTGATGCTGCTTGTTTGAGGTCTAGCCCGTTTTCTTGCCTATTTCCACAATATTGCCTGTCTCTGACCTCAGAAAGGTGGCCCTTCTGTTCTCCTCAATGCCACTTAAACCTCACTCTCTTCAAGGTCCACAAATATTAACCACCACCTAATCAACACAGCCTGACCCAAAGCTCACCGAAGTCAGTGAGAACCTTTCTATTAATTTCAGTGGACTATGAATTAGAACCAGATTGCTTCAGATACTCAGGACTAAAATCCAGTGAAAGTAAAACGATCCGTGTGGATATCTCTGTTGCGAACAGCAGACTGCCACTTGTAAACAGTTTCAGCAGTAATCTCAGATCAATGCCATTTATGAATATTTCCAATACGTTCTTCCAGACCGCATGCAAAGGACCGAGGCCCTAATTTTCTTGTTACTTTTATCTGTACAAATCTGGAGAAATGCCAAAGACTTCTGACAGAGCTTGAATAAACACACATCTAGCAAAGCCAGCTAAGGAAAACTAACATGTTCGTGAAGGTTAGTCAGTCATTAAAAATAAATAAATAAAAAAATCCAACAAGAAATAGTTTAAAAGGCTGTTTAGATAGAGAGACGGAGTATTTGCAAAGCACAGTGAAACGTTTAAAGTCACTATGCTCTAAATTTGCACTGGTGAGGACCTGCAATGCTATTTTTGCACTGATCCTCTGTCTAACCCTGCTTTATTCATTTGTGAACAATTTAAAGAAAAAAAACATTTCAGAATTCAAAATTTACATGACCCCATTCTTTCTGTCTTTGTAGACCCTTGCCACTTACTTCCTCTCCCATCTCTTCCTACCCCAGCTCTTCAACATATCTTACAAGGAAGAATTAAATTACTTTTGCCCACTCTTCCTTCTCCCACTATTTCTGTTCCATTTTTTCCTTAAGTGCTTTGGCTGCAACATCAGTATCTTTCTGCAATCTCACAGCACTCCCCTCAAGTGCTATGAGGTACTCAGCAACTGGAACAGCCTGGGAGATGTAATGCAATATAAATACATAAATACAGTGTTGAAGACTGTTAATCTTATGGAAAAGAGCTACCATTACCAGACATTATTACCCATCTAATGTTAAAATAGTACATATTTAATAAAAGGTATGGCAATTCACTTAAAAAAAAATAATGCTTACCCCATTGTACCAAAAGTACTTTAAGGTTAAAGGCAAAATAAAAGTAACACTGCCAATTAGGGCATAACTATGCCATGTGCATCAGTAAACAAAGCCTGTTTGATGACCTTCACTGAAAGAGTGTATTTATTTATTTTTTTAAACATATTTATGCTGATACGTATAGTGAACTACACTCCACCCTCACAGCTTCAAGTATGGGAGGCAAACCCTTTGTAGAAATGAAGTTACTGTTGCATCAAGGTTGCTAATTACATTGTTTAATACAAAAAGGAGCCAGGATACAGTACATTGATAGGGGGTGGAGTGTATTGTACATACAGAACAGGGGTGTTGCTTCTATTCTGTCATCTGACATTGATGTGTGGAAAGGAGACAAAAACAAATGCATTTCCTTTCCAGCACTGAAACATGCAAAGACAAATCACTTATTACAAGTTGTACGCAGCTCAGAGTAATAAAAATAGAATACAGATTTAGAAATGCCCCAGTATAATTTTTTAGATTTTACGTATATTTAATATTTTGATCTTCCACTTCAAAACTGCGAGTTAAGCAATGAGTGAATTGGATCTGAAATACAGACAAGGCATTACCCACATCACATTAAAAGGCATCTTAAATGCAGCTGTGGATTCTTAAACTTAAGACTGAATGGGATTCTTAGTTGCTTAGAATATGAATGAACTTGGCCACATTACATATACTTCAAGTGGAATTGTAACTATGTAATAAATTGCTGTTTAAAAAGACAACATGCAGAATTCAAACCTATTTGTTTCTTGCAGGATTCTGTTGATTTGTGCATGAAGAGGTAGTGATGCAGTGTTGCAATGAGAGTCACTACAGCGATACAAACCCACAGCCCAAGCATAAGAGTCTAGAGGCTGGATCTCCAAGGACCAACACTGAGTACACTGTTCTCTAAAACACACCTTCAACCAGCAAATTTAGTTTCAAGGAAACAGCTGCTCACCAACTTTTTCACGAAATAAAATTAAAAAAAGTGGTGGTAGAAGCAGCTTATAAATTATGATAACATTTATCAGAGAGCTGCAGACAGAAAGCAAAGACATTATTTTAAACGTGATCAGCTTCAACCAGAAATGTGAAAGCATTTTCCCCTGCTGATGTCTCACTAAAGTTGGCTGGGACAAAATTTGCGTTGCAGCTATGGGCTGAAGCAACAGTGTTGAGAAACAAAGCAAACAAGGATTTACAACTCCCCCACCTGCAACCCCTTCCAACTAGCAAAGTATGATGGATGCTTTTAGTTGGCTGCAAGGCAAACATTAGCTAAGAACTCATTTAGCTAAATCCACATCCATGGCCCCCAATGTTTAAAATTTGTCATGGATTAAAGCCATGAAATAAAAATTAAAAAAAAAAATTTCAATTTGAAATTTTATTAGCGTGTTGCTAGAATGGTCAACATCGATTAACAGGAGAGACTTTGTCCACACACTGAGAACAGCCTTCGTGCACCTCCCCCCTCCTTTCTTCCTCTCTCTCAAGCGCTCTTTCAGCATTAACACTATTGAAAGCCAAACAAAATACTGGCTATGGGTGTAAAGAACGCTGTTTGTTTGGAATGTTGCCATGGATCCTGCTTTCAGTCGCGTCCCATGGAAAGAGGGTGCAGCCGGCCGCCCCTGTGGAAGGCTGGGCTCCCCAGTAGGGCAGAAGGAAGATAGCCATGTACCCCACTGCGCACTATTCTTTCCCATCCACTATAGCCAGGTCTTTGATCACTCTCAGTTTGCCACTGGCATCGATTCGGCGCTTCTCGCGTATTAGATCCTCCAGACTGTGGAACCTCACCGTGTGCACTTTGTTCTCCGCCAAGTGGATCTTGAGATAGTACTGCTGCTGGGTGCCGGCAGCAGCCTGCAGCTCCCCCCCGGCTTTGAACTCCCGTTTCCCGAAGCGGCACCAGGCGGCGAAGCTCTCGGAGTTAGTCCAGCAGATCTCGTCGCTTTTTAAGCCCAGGTGCCCGCAGGCGTTTTGCACCACCAGCTCAGCCACCAGTGGGCGGAAGCGGTACCAGCTATTCACCACCCGGCCCACGTTGCCCGCGGCCGCCTCGTACAAGCTGTCCTGGCGGATCTGCCCCTGGTGCAGGTGGATGATCTGCCCGCTGCCCACGTACACTGCCCAGTGCGGCGGCGGCGGCTGCTCCGACGGCCCCAGGTAGAGTAGCTCCAGCAGGTCCCCCGGCTTGCAGAGAGCAGGCAGCGCTGACACCGAGTAGACGCTCAGGTCCCCAGCCTGGGGGCCGCTGCTGACCTTGGAGAAGATGCATTCCTGGCCGCGGAAAGCGGAGAATTGGGTCTCGTTCAGCACGAGCTGGTGGTGGAGGTGGTGGGTGGGCGTCTCCTGGCCAGGGCTGCCGGAGCCCTTCACGCTGTACTTCTCTGACTGGCCTCGCTCGTCCAGGTCCTCCTCCTCATCCGAAAAGAAGTAAGCCACCCCGACGCGCAGCTCGTCCTTCTCGATCCCCGAGGGGTCCCCGGTAGGCAGCTCACTGTAATTCAGGTGGGTGATGCGATCCAGTTGATTTCCCATCAATGACAGGGCGAGGCGAGGGCAGGAATCGCCGGATCTGGAGGAAGGGTGGGGTGGGCAGGGACAGAGAAAACGAGAGTGCAAACGGAGGGAAGGAAAGGAAGAGAGAAAAAAAAAATAATAAAAAAAAAAAAAATCAAGACACATACAAAAGACTTCAGCGATTCCGCCCCGAGCACCCATTTCTCCCCCGCTCCATCCCTCCCCTCCGAGTGAGGGGAAACTCCCAGCGCGGATCCTTCCCCCTCGCTTTCGGGGTGCAGGGCAGGGCAGTGCCCCGGGGCTCCCGGCTCCCCGGCCCAGCCCCACGCCGCAGGAGAAGGCGGCTCCTCGCCGCCCGCCGCCTCCGCGCGGGGGACGGAGTTGCTTCGGGAGCCTCTGCTCTCCGCTCCGCAAGGGAAAGGGCAGTGGGAGCGCTGGCCCGGAGGGTCCGGAGCCCGCTCGCAGCCGAGCCAAGCTGCTGTACGTGAGAACAGGATGCTGAAGAAGCAGGCGGCCTCGCAGCTGCCACCCGTGTCTACCCGCTCAGCCTCGCATTTCGGCCAGGACATCGCAAGGAGAGGGGAAAAAATAAAAATAAAAAAATAAAAAAAATAAATAAATAAAAAAAAAAGAAGCACCCTTTGTCCCCGAAAGGTGTCCCTCTCTCCCCCCTCCGTACCCGTGGTCGCCCAGCGGGTCGTCAGAACCCCCCAAACTCCTTTAAAGTCGTTCTGTCCCCATGGGCGCCGCAGAGGAGGTGAGTTCCGTCCTCCCCAAAGCTCGCCCGGCTCCTCCGCCCGCGCCGCCCCGCTCTGCTGTGGGCTGCTCAGCCCCTCCGGCAGAGCATAAGTACCGGCGGCGCCGCTCCCGAGCCCGCCCCGGCACCGCTCATTGGCCGCGCCGCGCTGCGCTGCGCCCGGTGGCGGCGGCCGTAGTGGGGCTCCGCGGCGTCACTGTCCGGTCCGGCCTCGCTGTCCCCCAACGCCCGGGAGTCTGATTTCGGCGCCTCGTGGCTGGCCTCTGGTTGTGGCACGGAGACCGCTCGGTGTCTCCGTGCGAAGCACGGCTATCCGGAGAGAGAGGGTTCAAGCAGTGTGCGCACCGCCAAGCGAGCCCTGCAACTGAAAAGAAAGCAGAAAAAAAGTGATTGCCATGGTAAGAAAAACGCCCTTCCTTTAGCTAGAGGGTTGTATCTCTCCGAGAATTTCTTCATCCGTCAAGGAAATGAGTGTCCGCTTGTCTAAATTCAGAACCTCCGTGCAATCTGAGCTCTGGATTTCCCCATGGTCAGACAAAACTGGCCTTTCCCATGGGCTGTTCTGCTCACCTATTGCACACCCCATTTTAGAAGGGGATGAGCTGCCTGTCTTTTATCATCACCAACACACTGGAATGTTGATGTTAGATGAGGTGACTCCTAGCTGTGGTCATCTGTCCACATCTGGCTGCAGCAGCAGTAGTGGGTTGTCCTAAGACAGAAGGTGGGCTATGGCTTGTCTTACATAAAACATAAGATTGCCTGATGGTAGCAGTCCATCTTTTCCTAAAATACGTCAAATCTAAAATCTACCATCTGTAGTAGCTAATGCCAGTACATATTTTACATATTATTTTGCACATTATGAAATCAAGGCTTAGGAATAATTAGCTGATGTGAACACAGTTTCCCTATAAGACTGTGTTAGCGATGGGATTGTAACCTTGGTTCTTCAGAGAGCTCTCGTCATGGGAACTTTTGAGATGAACTTAAATATTAAGACACTTCATGAAAAAACCTAACGTAATTATTTGATTCATATGTGAGTCACATTAAAGCACCATTTTTATCTATTCACAGTGGAAATAAATTTGTCGGATAGACATAAATATTTCTATTTTTGGTGCTTGTGGATACTAACCACCTTCACTTCTGACTCCCCAACTTAGACTTTTTTTTTCAGTCCAGTCTTTGGCTTTGGTTAAATAAGAAAAATAATGCTGATGCTTTATTCTCATGATAGTGGCATGCAGCTTCTATCTACCTATAGCAACTTCCCATTTTTCACGGTAAAAATGTCATGCCTAGGTTTATATGGGTCAAATACTGGGTTTCTTATGTAGACATGTGTTTTCTTCAAATGAACCTTTGATTTTCCCATTCAAATATTTATATGCCTATCTTTCTAGGAGAGTATTTTGTTTCTCATTAATTTTTTAGCATAGGCAAAGGCATCAGATCATAAATGGAAGGGAGAAAAGGGCTTGTTCAGTGGTGTGACATTCTAAGACTGACCAGTTATTTTTCACTGTGGCAATTATACTATTTTGTTGGTTAAGACTTTGCATCTTTCATAAATTCAGGGACTACAGTCTCAAACTCATAGGTGTCTGAGGTGCTGGTTTACAGCAGTTCAGGATGCGGCATTCAGGGGTTTGTGGAATTAGAAATTGAAGTAAAAATGTTTATCTAAAAATGACTATATCCTAAAATATGTGTTTAAAAGTTTCACAGGAGTAAGCATAGTGGATGTTACAAACCTCTGAAACTGTTTAGATGCTTTTGTCCTGATTGTCAGAAATTATACATTCTTTTATGGCATAACCTTCATCAACTGCAACATTTTAAATTAAGTTATGAATACACCCTAATACATTTATCATTTAGGCTGGAAAAGAGCCTATGATATTTTGATTTTTTTAATAACTGTTAATTGTTAAAGCTAGTTCAAGCAGAAGGCCATTTTCCATACATACATTCTTCATCAACAGTTTCTGTTTTCTAAACAGTTTATATTTTTCTTGTTTAAAGTCTGCATCATTTTAGGTTGCACTCACAGTTCACACTTCCCACATTTGCCAATCATCAAGGCTATGTGGAGTAATTTTTAGACAGTTCCAAACAAACAATACATTATTTCATCTTTTCCATGCAAAATAGTACAGAACAAATTTCTTCAGTGAACTGCATGATGCAGAAAGAATCAGTCTGTGTTCAAGAAAGACTCTTCACTTCTAACTGGATGGAATAGCCCCAGCCAAATTTTAACCATTTTCTTTGCATTCCCCATGCTTTTGAAAGTCTGCTCAATGAGTGCATCCCATCTCTTGCTGAAGCACTTAACCCCTGTTCAGGACACCTGCAACACCCATTTCCTACTTACCTTTCAGTACTGGCTGCAGTCTGTCTCATCAGTGTTTTATGCTCTTCCTCTGTCCCTCAAGAAGGACTTTTTTTTTCTCAGTTTCTCTCCAAGAAAGAAAGAAAGGAATGTGCCATAAAACAATGCAAAACAAATGCCAGTATAAATGTTATTATATAAAACTGTCAGGACAGGAATTATGTAAACCAACAGCTTGAAGTAAACCTCTCCGTTTGAAAGCTTCTGTTGGTGTTAGCGAATGTTACAACAGTACAGTGTCCACAGAAGTATATTTCTGTGACGTACTGCTTGTTTTGACTGAGCTATTCTGATGATACATTTATAATCTCCTTTAGGCATTTTATTTTTTGGGAGCTTGTGGAGACTTACTTAGCATGAATGCTAGTGCAGGGTTGGCTTGGCTGCTCTCAGATCATGGCACTGGCAACGCAGTGTCACTCTGCTCACACTTGTGTTCACCAGCTTCAGTCTCATTAACCAGGGTCGTAACCTTGTCCTGCACCAGGACATAGGAATTTGCCATTAATCCATTCTTATTAACTCCAACATATTTTTCCTCAGACTGAGTGTAGGGAAGAAACCTGACAACATCATCATATCTAGCTTTGTCCTATTATACTATACTCCAAAGCAGTGAATTTACATTTTTTATTGCTGTTTTTCTTTTTGTGCATTTTTCCACCCTTGCTATTTTGTCAGTCTTGCATTTATGTTTAATTCAACACACTGAAAACTCTTAAAATATGTAACAAAGTAGATGCTCAGTAGCTTATTTTTTTTAAAATTTTTTTTGTTAAATAATATCATCATCTTGCTGTGAGCTCAGCTTTTAAGCCTTGGGCCCCTGTTGCTAAAAGTGGAGCTGAAACTCTATTAATTTAAATGAATGAATGTTTGTGCAGAAAAAAATTGGAAACCCACGTTTCAGTAAACAACCAGAGATACAAAAATTCATGACAAGTGTTGAAACTTGGCTATGTTTTATAAGCTTCCTCTATATCATGGAAATCCATCCATCACAATTCTGGCAGCATTGAGTCTCAAACGTCCAGTAGTTTACCTCTCTTTCTATTGTAGCCTGGTCTGCCCAATAGACACACCTACATATAATGGGTACCAGGAAGGATCTTCTTTACACTCCCTAAAGTGCCCAACTCCAGTTGTAATTTGACTATACATTCACGTTCTGTGTCTATTTCCTATATTTTCTTTACAATCTCAGTGTACCTTATGGTACCTTATCAGAAACAAACCATGCTAGTCCTCTGAGAAACCTGTTATCTGGACCGCAACTGATGTAGATGGTAGAGTTGCTTATTTTGCAAACATCTTCACATGCAAATTGCCCATATACATATATAGGCAAGGCCATAATGTCCAGGTTTGAGTAAAAGCGTGGTATGCCAGCTCTATAGCAGCAATGACACTACATAAGTATGTACAGTTTCTACAGTATCTAGTTTGGCAGTGTCCGGGGATTTTGATCCTTGAGCTTTGGACAGCTTCAATAATTTTTCATCCAATGATGTTGAAATATAAAGAGTGAAAACTCACTAATGTCAATAACTGTGGCCAGAGATTTGCCCTTTGCCTTTTTTCTTCACTTCTGCCGACTTCTGCTTGCTTTGTGCTTCTTGCATTCACGGGGCACTTGAAAGTAAAATTGGCCAGAGGCTGTTTCTCAGCCCTGAGGGAGATTATAACTATATACCTCAGCTGAACTCTAAGCTCCAAAACTGGGTAGCTGCATCCAAGCTGCCTATTAGGAATTACTCTGAACCCCTTTTAATCCCTACGCTTTATAGAAGAATATTAGCTAGCCTGTGCCAAAGCCTTTCAAGAGGCCATGCTACCAATTTAATAGTATAAGAAATACCGTTCCACTCCATGGCCCTGTGACCTGGTTCTTTATGGCCAACTGTTTACACTTAGCTTCTGAAGGGGAGGTGAGGCATGACCCAGTGTTTTTGTTGTTGTTGTTGTAGTGGTTTTCTTTTTTTGGACACATATCACCTGGGAAGACCCAAACTTAATTTCTATATCCTGCTCAATTGATACAACCAAAAAGATACTGTATAAAAGATTTTGTGGAGGGCTTGGAAGAGACAACTGCCCTTTTAAGTGTATTTATCTCCAGAAGACCTACGCAGATAGGATTCCACACCAGGAAGCTGTATCCCTTTCCAGCTGTCAGGAGGCAGGGTGTCAGGAAGGAGCAGGATGTGGGTACCTATGGATCCCCTCATTACCAGCGCAGTCTCTGGGTGAGCTGTTGAACAGAGCAAATCTGGGGAACCGGTCATCTGAGGCTGACCCAGAAGTTAGGGCAGCCAGGCAAGGCCTTCCCAACACTGGCTAACCAGTAGCCCAGCCCAGGCATCAGGAGATGAGCTGAGCCTCCTCAACATTCTGTCATTAACTTCACTTTTCTCCCAGACGTCTGCTCTGAGGTTATCAGAGCTGATCTTGAATGTGAGCAACAAACTCTGAGAAAGCAGAGGAAGAGCTTGTAGATCATATTCATTCACTGAGTATGAAAAAACTAGCTGAGGGACTAGATTTTCATTTAGATGTCTGTCTCTGCACCACATGGAAACTGAATGCATAGGTTTTGGGGATAAGGGGTGGGAAAGGCTGCTTTTAAATTAGTTACTCTCTTTGGTAGT